CGCTGTTGCACCTCTGAGAACTTTTAATGCTTATTCTGTGGCTTTTATATAAGCCTTTTGATGGGTTGTGTCACAGAGCTGTAAAAACGGTTATGCTGACCAAGTGAATGAATCACGTTTGTGCCGAACTCTTATTACAAAGCAAAAACAAACACTCTTCGATCCATAAACGTTTCTCTCAGTTAATGTGCGCGATATCATCTCACAGTCTGAAACGTCTGTCATAGCAAATCAACACATGTATGCTGTTGTGAATAATTAAGCGACGCATCTTCTCATAGGATAAGAACACGCAGTCTCATGAATAATTTAATAGACACCGCGTCATCGATGTACTATAGTCCATTGCCACGTCACAAATTGTGACGTCAACACCATGTAGATTTTAAACCCAGAAGATGAAAATAGCGCAAAAAAAACTTAAAATTCACCAGTTTTCTCCAACAGTTAAAATTATCGGATGCTAACATTGTCTTCTATGATGTGCAACACAAACACCTCTGCTAAAATCTCAGAAAAAGTAGGGGTTTCATGACCCTTTAACAGCCTCGGTGAGCATGAGACTTCTTACAAAAGCATTAAAACATTTTTTTTAAATGAAATGTTTCTAAGAATTCACATCAAGCCTAATTTAAGATTTTAAAATAGAATAAAATAAAGTAAATTCTACCATCATTTTCAAATTTTAGGTGAACTGTGTTAATCACGCAAAACTAAATATGACATAAAATTAATTTAAAAAGGAATTTAGTGAAAGACTATCTTCAGTCTATCTTCAAAATCCTCCACTCATTTAGTAAAATCTAAAGTTAGGCTGAGTTTCATTTTTCAGTGACACCACACCCAGATGAGGGAGGAAAATTCTTCCTAATAAAAACAGCTTTCAAAGATAGACCACATAAAAACCAAGCCCACTCAAACTGGCCTCACCCCTCGGAGAATTAAAACTAATGAAGGAAAGAGGCCAATGAGAGGGTTCCTCCCTTCAAACATTCGGGAATCTCTGGCCTGTTTCTTACCAGATGAGTCTGCCGTTCTCCACATAGTACTGGACCTTCAGACAGAGCAGCGGAGGGATTGACCTCCTCTGTGACCCCTGCTGAGAGAAAGAACAGGCTTGACTAGGTTACTGTGGCAACCCCCTCATTATGAAGTCACTCCCACATCCCGACCGGCCTACTAGTATTTATCTTAACTATCATACTGTAACCGCCCTGATTACCACAGGGAACATGGAGGACATGGTACAGTGATACTGTGATGGAATGAGTAGAATCACAACGCTATCACATTGATGAACCATGGTATTTACAGCTATGTAAAAGAACACCATGGTACTACCATGATGATAATGCCATAGTTGTTTATACTTTTTGGTACTGTTTTATAGTGTTAATGATGGAGGACCCTGTTATGCTCACCTTCCCTGAGTCCTGTTTCCATTCCTTAGGGAAGTACTTGGCAAGTTTCTCTTCCAAGTCCAGAAAGATGTGCTCATTGTCTAAAACAGCCCAGAAAGGACACACAGGAAACAAGTGTAAATGCTCTCGGCGTGCAAACAATGGCATCATGAATTCATGCATGAAATCTGCCCAACAATGACCTCAATTAGGGAGACGGCTGGAATGAAAAGACCCGTTGAGCCATTGGTGAACGCAGGCCCCGGTATGCAACAGCCCCAACCGCAGACAAAACTTACCCCAGTAAAAACTAGCGGTCTCATGCCAGAGCGAGCTGTGATTGCAAAAGAATTCTAGCACTTTGAGTAAATCATGGAAACACATTTAAAAGGGAGCTTCTGCAAGAATGGAATTAAGATGGTTTAAATAAATGTCACAATAGAAAAATGAAAGAAGATTTAGCTAAAACCAAGAAATGGATTTTATTTCCCAGAATGTTAGCACATCCTTTTAATCCAACTGGTCCATGTGATTTATTTGATTTGTCAATGTGACCTCTTTAGTATTTGTATGTAAAGTATAGATAGCACACATCCATTATCTTACATTTGGTTAGACACTATAATATACAATATCAATGCACTGACAGCATCTAAAATGCAAATCATTACATTACTTTACACAATTTCAATTAACATTATTTAAAAATAGTTTTATAATTTATATAAAGAATTTATATTGTATTATAAATATAATTAGGATGATTATTATTTCTTCATATATTTATAAAATAAACAATTGATAAATTTAAGTAATTTTTATTTTAAAAATATGTATATGTAAGGTATCATACACATATATTTATACTATATTATATTCATAATATAGTCCATTATATATACACTTCTGGTCAAAAGGTTGGAATGATTATGATTTTTTTTTATGTTTTTAAAAGAAGTCTCACAAAAGCTGCATTTATTTGATTAAAAATATAGTAAAACCATAATAATGTGAAATATTATTGCAGTTCGAAATAAATGAATATATATTATTATTATATATTATTTTATAATGTAATTTATTCCTGTGATGGCAAAGCTGAATTTTCAGCATCATTACGCCAGTCTTCAGTGTCACATGATCCTTCAGAAATCATTCTAAAATGCTGACTTGCTGCTCAGGAAACATTTCTTATTATTATCAATGTTGAAAACAGTTGTGCTACTTAATATTTTTGTGGAAACCATGATAAATTTTTTCAGGATTCTTTGATGAATAGAAAGTTCAAACGAACAGCATTTATTTGAAATAGAAATCTTGTAACATTATTTTGATTACTTTTGATCAATTTAATGCATCCTTGCTGAATAAAGGTTTTTAAATTAAAAAATTACAAACTACAGAATGGTAGGGTATCACAATTTACACAAAAATATTAAGCAGCAAAAGCTTTTTTCAACTGTATTATATATAATAAATTATGAGTGATTATGACAATTCAGAGTAATTCATATTAAGTTTTAGATGCTGTCAAAATTCTGATATTGTATGATTCAGTATCTACACAAACACACAAAAATGTATGTGAACACTTTGTTATGTTAACACTTTATGTTTATGTTATGTTATGTTATGTTATGTTATGTTAGTTATGTTATGTTATGTTAGTTATGTTATGTTATGTTATGTTATGTTAACACTTTATGTTTATGTTATGTTATGTTATGTTATGTTTTTACAAGCGCAAGTTCACGTTCCGTTCTGTTTATCCATCCTTTATCACTGCTAACTTTGCATCACTAACTCCCTCACTAAATGACTCAAACTCTTTCTGACTCACTGTCTCTTTATCCGAGGTTCATTACAAGAAGGTTGTGTGACCCTGCTAAACGCTCAGCCACTATAAATTGCTCTCTCCCGCTGCCTCTCTGCACTGAAGTGGTGAATCATGGTGAATTCCAGGCTTAACAACGTTAATATAGCTTGATTCCAAGCCTCAGGGGTCACCAGCCCTCAAATAAACAAAAACAAAGACGCTCTTGTCTAAGAGGAGAGTGACACATAATCATAAGGTATTCAAGGGAGGAAGAAGCTGGAATGAGGCTTTTTCAATGAGAGGTTGAACAGGAGAGAAAAAAAGAGACTGAGTGAACAAACTCATCTTAATAGAAAGAACCTGCTCGGAATTGCAAAAGACAAATATCAGATGCTACATTAGTTTTAAATGGATTTAATTCATATTTCCCTGGGAATAAAAGCAAGTTTGTGTCTTTAACCCCCCCTCTGCAGATTATGTCATTCAGGTGCAGTTCATACATTGCTTGAATTGGCAAAAGACCAGAAGGCCTTGAGCTGTAAGCATTTGCATTTGAAAGTCTTCAGTGAAAGACAAATAAACCAACTCAAATGTGGTTACAATTTCCATTTACAGTACACACAAAATACACACTTCCTTTGAGATCCACATACACTCTCAAAAATAAAGGTTCTTTCGCATCTATGGTTCCATAAAGAACCTTCAACATCCATGGAACCTTTCTATTGCACAAAAGGTTTTTACAGTGGAAAAGGTTTTATAGATTATTAAAAGGTTCTTTACAATAAGAAAACATTGTTTCTTTTAAGAACTGTTCACTGAAACATTCTTTGGTGAACCAAAAACGGTTCTGCTATGACATCACTGCAAAACCCCCCTTCTGGAACCTTTAAAAGCGTACAATGTAATTGGGAAGAATCAATCCTTACTTTTGACTAAAGTCAATCCAAAGTAGTGCAGCTCTTTAACCCCGAGAAGCTCGCAGACACGATGAAACACATCTTGACCCGTTGCTTTCAACTTGGAGGAAAAGAAAAACAGATTTAACAATGAATGATGTATAAAAACATTATTTTGAAATGCATTCTGATTCTAAATGCATGCATTCCACGCAATAAACACAAATATGCACATTTTATATACTGTATATTACAATATACAGTAAAGCCATAAGTAGGTTATTGCTTTTTTCTCATTTGTCATTGACAGATTCACGTGGAAACAATAGGAAGACATGCTGCAAATCAAAATATGAAAAATCACAAGAGCTGAATATTTACCCCCACTGTGATGTCTAATGTCTCCTTTGTGGGAAGGAGGACACATACTGTCCTCTCTTGTTTGGTGGGGACAGACATGGCCTATGAAAGCTCATCCACATACATACAGTCACACACTCACACTGGCCTCTTTCTCTTCAAGATGCTTTGCTCACAGGTATTGGCTCCTTCATTTTGATTATCTGCAAAAGAACACAAACAAACCAGACTCTCCTTCAATGTAAGTGTATAGGATTTTATGCCCAACTTATCATCTGCCAGGTGGAGATAATATGTTTGAAAGTAATAGCACTCATATTTCTCATATTTCAAGACACAAAACAAGGCAAAAAAGAAACACTGGGGTAATTAAAATGTCTCGACTGTCCAGAAATGTTGATGAGGTCTGTGGTGGAATATGAGGTTTTATCCTGCTCTCATATTTCATACAAACTTGTCCCCCAGTTCAATCATGCAATAAAAGCTCATTACATTGCACAATCTGCCCATTTGAGCCCAGTTGAGTTGATTATATAAACACAATTATGTAATAATGAAATTAATGCTAAACTTGCAAACAGTGAGTCTCGCAGATCCTGTGGTGAATATTATTGGGTGATCTTATCATGTTTGTGGACCTTCAATTTCCACCTGCTCTAATTTTTTACTGAACCCAAAACTTCAACATTGTCCTGTTCAGGTCCGGACTGGCCACCGGGAGCACCGGGAGAATTCCCGGTGGCCTGGCGGCTGATTTGGCCCGATGCCCCAATTTTAATTTTTTTTTGTTATTATTATTATTAATACTTTATATTTATGCCTTGCCTTCTCAATGTACCAAAGTGATCATTTCCGATTTTTTTAATTTGATAAATCGATAGGCCTAATAAATCATAAATTGGTTAGTCTTGACTGTCAGCGCTGCGCAATACGAATCAGCTCACGTGTGTTCCGCGCTTCCGTCAAACAGTTCCGATCAGAACCGATGCGCGGGACTCGATGGAAGAGAGAAAGCGGACAGAAGCAGCAGTGAAATGTAGCTACATCACTGACCTGTTCAGGGCTTCGAGTGCAGGTCAGTTTCATCTGTAAATACGCTAGATAGTTTTGTCTTTATTAACCTAGTTGAGTATTAAACTGCTAGTATCTGTTAGGCTATCAGTAGCACCCCATTATTATCATCATTCAGAAGAATGCTGTGCTAAAGGACATCAATATCGATTGTAAAGTTACATTAAAAAATTTAGCAGAGACAGATATTCACATGGATTTATTGTACAGGGAGGGGAGGAGCTACAGCAGACAGCAACACAAAAATAATATGAGTAACAGGCTCAAAGCCTAATAATTCAATAGTGTATTAGACTATTTCAACAAATATATTGTACTAATTTTGACATTTAGGCACTTTAGAAATTGTGTTTTAATACACTAGTCAAAAGGTTTTGATCAGTAAGATTTTTAATGTTTTTTTAAAGAAGTCTCTTCTGCTCACCAAGCCTTCATTTATTTGATCCAAAATACAGCAAAAACAGTGATATTGCGAAATATTTTTATTATTTAAAATAACTGATTTCTATTTGAATATATTGTACAATGTAATTTATTCCTGTGATTTCAAAGCTGAATTTTTTGCATCATTACTCCAGTCTTCAGTGTCACATGATCCTTCAGAAATCATTCTAATATTCTGATTTGCAGCTCAAAAAACATTTATTATTTTTATTATTATTATTAATATTATGTTGAAAACAGATTAGATATTTTTTCAGGTTTCTTTGCTGAATAGAAGGTTCAGAAGAACAGCATTTATATGTAATAGAAATCTTTTGTAACATTATAAATGTCTTTATTATCACTTTTGATCAATTTAAAGCATCCTTGCTAAATAAAAGTAATAATTTCTATAATATTTAGGTATATAGGTTTGTTAAATCTAGGGTATTAAAGTCATTTTAAGATAAATAACATTCTGTGCTAACAAATTGAAATCAATTTTGACCCCTTTTTTTTTCTGTGTGGCCTGGATGAGTGTGAGATTCACACCCATTCTATAATGCTGTACAGTGACCGCAAAAATGTATTTGGACACTTAAAATGTATGAATGTAATTGCAATCTTTGTCATTACTTTTAACCAAAAATGATTTTTACACCGGTGTTCTAGCAAAGTGCCCTCACCCTCAAGCTATCAAGGCTATAGATGAATTAGTTTTTTTATGGGAACAGATCTGGAAAAATGTAGCATTACATCACTTTCTCAACAATAGATCTTTTGCAGTGAATGGATGCCGTAAAAATATCACAGTATTCCACACGACTTCAGTCCATTAATTAACATCTTGTGAAGTCAAAAGCTGCATGTTTGTAAAAACAAAAAACAAAAAAACAAATCCATAATTAAGAAGTAATTAAGTTTAAACCAAGGCTCCAGGTTAAACTACCAGTCCTCTATCCGTAATATTGCTTTCTCCAGTGAAAAAGTGGTCTTGTCTGAATCAGAGGATAAATATGCAGATCACACAGTGTTTTAGTGCAAAATAGTTCTTAACAAACATGTTTGTGGATTTTGATGTGAGAGGACAACAGGGAATGGACTTTTTCACTGGAGGAAGCGTTATTATGGATTATGGACAGTATTTTGGTCAGAGTCAAAGTTTTTTTTTTCCTACAAACATGCAGCTTTTCAGCTTTCAAGACGTTAATTGATGGACTGGAGTCGTGTGGATTACTTGGATGATTGTGATGTTTTTTATCAGCTGTTTGAAAACACATTCAGATGGCACTCATTCACTGTAGAGGATCCATTGGTGAGTAAGTGATGTAATGCTAAATTTCTTGAGATCTGTTCAGATGAAGAAATAAACTCTTTCGAGAATCATTAGCTATTGGCTGTATTAATGCTCTTTCTCTCTCACACTGTGTTTACAGGGGAGTGTTTAACTTCGGGTGATTCAGAGCCACAGTAATGTCAGTCCACACCTGTGAATCAAGACATTAGGCTACTGTTAACCGCTACAGCCTCAGGGGAATCCAGCTGCTTGTCCTGATTTCTTTATTTTGATCCATGGATTTTGTCTCATTTTATACAAGGTATACAGAAACAATAAACACATTTTAGTCTCCCTGACAGTAAAAGATAATGGAAGTACAGTTAAAGACTAAGATATGATGTTAAAGGAATAGTTCACCCACAAACGAAGATTCTGTCGTAACTTACTCATGTTGTTCTAAACCTGTTTGACTTCTATGGAACACTACAGGAGATGTTAAGCAGAAAATTAATGACAGTCACATTTCTTTTTATTGCATATTTTTTCCGTACAATGACAATGAAGGTTGACTAAAGTTGTCGTTCTGCCTTTTGAGTTTCACAAAAGAATGACAGTCATCATCGCTTTTGACTTACTGGGAACAACACCAGAAACAAACACTGAGTGAACTACACACCTCTAATGATGTAATTTCAAAGGTGTAATGAAGTAAAATACAACATGCAAGAACTGTATATATAGACTAATACATCATCCAGGCCAATAATTCAGCATTTTGAAATTATTTTGTTCAATTAAGATAAGCATCATCTCTCCCTTCATACACGCTTTTGTTGGATGGCATTCTGTGCAAAACATTACTTATTTGTTTGATGCTTCCAAGACTGTCACAACTCTTCTCATATTTTTGACAAAGCCTAATCTAAACTAGCCAACAAACAGCTAGTTAACCATGGAACCATTTTAAAATCAGAAACCGCATAGCAATGCCCAGTACTTCAAACAAAACCAGTTGTATAAGTCTGAATGCTATAAAACCCAAGGACATGATCAACAGTTGTAAGAAAACCACACTGGCCTAACTTACATGTTTTTGCCCAGATCATCTGGGCATCTTATTTATGAGCCCTGATATATTTACAACCCAATTGTTGGAATTAAAAAAAGGTGACCTCTGCTCTGTAAACATCCATGACAGTATTTCTCTTTTGAAAATAACAAATGGAAATAGATAACAAAAGTATATCATGTTTTCAGTTTGTACATTCTTTACATTTCTTCGTGACGTTTTAAAGCGCGGTTAATCGCGAAACCGGTTAATCGCTGCATCCCTAATTGTATTTGCCAATATCACATATCAGCAGTAAATCGGCACCAGACATTGTCAAACTGCTCATAATTTATTTAGAGAGATGTCAAGAAACTCAAACAACAAGAAGAGAAATAAATTCAATGGCAGTTTAACACTTCCAACCAAAAACCAACTCAAAACCCACAGTCCTGTTTGTTCAACCTGAAAGTGAATGAGACCTGAACACCTCCACAAACAGTCCCAGGAGATCAGAGAGAGGGTTTGCCAGCAACCACATATTCAATTCAATTACAAGCTTCAATTTCAGTCTTCATAAAAGAATACAGAAGCATCATATCAACTAAAGTATCGATTGTGTGTAAGATACAGAATATTAAAGGGGTCATATGATGCAATTTCAATTTTTCCTTTCTCTTTGGAGTGTTACAAGCTCTTGGTGCATAAAGAAGATCTGTAAAGTTGCAAAGACTAAAGTCTCAAATCCAAAGAGATATTCTTTATAAAAGTTAAGAGTCAATCACGCCTACCTAAAACGGCTCGTTCTAACACGCCCCACAT